CTCAACCATGTACATGCACTGACTTACTTCACTGAATTGGTGTTGAAAATCCGGATGTTGTTCATGGTTTGTGCTTAGTGCAGTGCAGTGCAGAAGATCACCACAACGGTTTCAGCTTAATGAACGCCTGTCTTTCCGATCCTGTCTGCTTTGACATCTTCGTCTGTGCCTGTGCCGCCGCCTGCAGTTGAAACGATGCTGCCCTGCCTAGATAGGTAAGTGAAAGAGGCTATTTCCTTTGAGTTTCTCCCGTTCATGGTGATTGGATCTTGTTGTTGTTGTTGGTTGAGTATCTTGATCACGTTTGTCTTTTTTACGTTCACTGGATCTCCAAGGTTCGTTACACTAGATAGTGAGTGATCTGAACCGATATCTGTTTCACCTCTTGATGTTTTGTCAAGTAGGTTGCGTCTCCACTTTCTTCACATTGAGATAAAGTCGATATGATTTTTAGTGTCCTGGTGAAATGTATGTCGCTCGCCTTGTGGAAAACCTTGAGCTTGAACACAGTGCTTCCAATCACCAAATTTTTGAATGCACAGAATTCTGTAAGCAATTCTCCATTCGCGTTTATTTCACCTAGCGCTTCTCGACCCATGGTTAGTTCTCTTCCTGTGTTATCCGCTCCCAGTTTGGCTTCATGTCACCCCACCCATTAGAATTTTGATGTCGCCGAATGAGGTCTTGTCCGGTTTTGATTGCAGTTGTCTGTAGAATTGCTCCTTCTTCTCTTCATCTGCATTATTTACAGGTGCGTAGCGTTGTTCGATTGTGACCTTCCTTCCTTTTGAGTTGAACCTTGCTGCCATAATCTTGATCGTGAAGGAGATTGGTTCCCACTGCGTGAGAGCCTTCGATGCTCTTGGAGACATCATGATAGCCACCCCCTCAGTGTACTCGTGGTTGTCGTCTGGGTGACAATATCGCAAGAGACTATTGACTCCTTTCCAGTTGACAGCTTGGAAAGCCCACTTCAATTCCATCTACTTTCACAGATTCTTAGCACTTCATCCCCTTTGCAATCTGGGCAGCCTTGCTAGGTTCAAACATGGTGCGGACATGTTTACTTTCGCTTTCATTGAGAGAAGACACATCGGCCAGTTGGCTTCCCGAACGGCGTCATTCCGTCTCTCCGATTACAGCGAGGATTAAGTTTGTTTTTATGTGTTTTATTTTGTCTGTACTTTGAAGTTTCTGTAGCGGTTGGATCGGTTTTACGGGGAGGGTTGCTAGGCGTACGCCCAACCCTCACTGTTCATGCGGGCTTAGGATCGGCTAGTAACTAGTTAATCAGGTGAGGTTGAAAAAAATCATCACTAGACCGAATTGTAACATATTCAAACAAGGATTCTGAATCATAATGAAATAAAATCATATGATAGGGATGTTCCACTGAAAAATCAAAGCGGAGAGGAACGGGATGACGATCTGCATCGAAGAATCAGCTGAAGAATAATTTAGTCTGGAAATGAAACCTACATTCAACTGAGTAAGTTGTAAAAAGCCTACGTTCCCACCTTTTTCAATCTCTACGATATCAATACAATCAAGTACGCGTATGCGAACACCTGGGACAGAAATTTGAGTGTTTTTGGGACGCTTCACAACTGGTTTACAGAGTCTACCGAGCTACAGTCTATTCGGTCCTGTTATGCACCTGTAAGACAGATTTTCGAACACAGATGTTCTTGAAGTATTGCTCACGTATGCTGGAATCACTATATGAGCAAGGTAGAGGATAGGCGAAAATCTACTCGACAGAGAAGGCATGCTAGTTGATGAGGTTGTGAAAATTCACCAAGTGAAGTCGATTTGACATGTGCAATGTTAACCGAGGTCCGATTAGTTTGGAAAAAGACTCATGATGACCAGACTAGTCAATGAACCTCTGACTGTTGATTTGAGCAATCTAGGGAAGTGTAGACTAACTGGTAAAAGTCCCCGAGATGTCGGCTTCCAATAAGAGGCATATGTATTATAACGGTGTAAACAACAGGCTCTGCACACCCTACTCACTGTGAAGACCCTACAGTCCCGGGTATCTACACTTACCTTCTCAGAAGGGATGGAAGCCAGTCCCAGGCCTGGATTATTCTGCATCTCACACTCATCACCCAACTGGTACCAACCCCCACTGCGACTAGACGGTGGCACTCAAGTTTTTCAATCCCAACTCTCTGAGCGTTGTTAGCAGACAGTTGATCAAGTTCACGAGTCAACTGGTGACTGCTTCATAAGACTAATTTCACAGTCAGGAGGAATTATATATCCGCTAGTGGATCTAATCACTGACCTGTAACCTATATCAGAGATACTGGGAAGTATGCTGGCCTACTTGATCCTACTAGCATGTAGTTCGGGGGGAAAATCAGGCACATATCCCACATACTTCATCATACCTCGCAAGAAACTCATACCCTCCCGCAGCCCATGACATATCAAATTGCTTATCACCACTCTGAGCTAGTCAGTTCGGGCTTTCTTGGAAGGTCTGAAGTATTTCGTAACACCGAAGTCGTGATATGCAGCTAAAATGTTAGCTGTCGGTCAAACGTTTAGACAATGACTCGGAATACCACAGCGATCAGAATCATTAGTAAGTCGACTAAATGTGCGCCGTTGACGAGGCAATTGTGTGCATTACCAAATATATGACGGTTACCTAGAGGGAGCCATAGTTACTTTCGGTTGTCATGTGAATCTGCATTCCCCTACGAGGTTCAGACTAACATTCACAGAGAGACTTCTAGGGACGCGATACAAGTAATCTTCGCCTCAGAAAATGGTATAATCTGCAGCCGTCTGAACGAATTCATGTCTAAACTTTATTTCGCACTTTTCTTCCCTGTAGACAAGTCCGCACGGCAGCGGATATTATAACTGACTTGTTAGTGGCTAGCAGATCAATCTAGAACGTGTGTTTCTTACTCTCCGGGACTCATCAGTTGGATGCACCTGCACCCCACTGAATGATACTGTTCCAACTGATACTCAAACCTCGTGCTCATTGCTTCAAACGCCAAAACATTGACTACTGGGCCATGGGCAGCCACCTCTTGTATAACGGGGATTAGTTATTATTATTTGCTGCTGTACTGGATCGAATTGACCAACTTCTGAATGGAACAGCCACCCCACACACACGCACACCAAGTCAATCACAACATAATCGATAGTAAGACAACATCGAGGCATCCGTATAGGAGGTTATACACCAACAGCGGTTGTTCAACTTAGTCAGCTTCCGTCACTATGGCTACGATCAAATGGATAAGGTCGAAGTGGTCGACCAGGCTTACCGAGGACGAAAAACACCCAGTTGAATCAAAATTGGCAGACACTACTAACGAAGCGTATTTCAGTATACCACTCATAAACGGGAACTGAATATACCATCAAACCGTCATTCCTTAGACGTCGCTCTACAACATTATATAGGTAGAAAAATTCTTTGATACATTCGACGAAGACATATGAGGTGAGAATTATGCAAACTTCAACATCTTTTCAACTGTACACGGAAACTGGGCGCTGAAGAGAAAAGTGAGGAAGGCCTGAAGAGAAGCGAAGTGAATTAAATAGAGTACAGCTGACACCTCGCCTTTGAACTGGATAAAGAGTCATATGGATAAGTGCTGTCCAAAGAAAGGCTCATCCAACCGCCAAACTCGGTCATGAATGCAATTACGCGCGAAGTTCATGAGTATATATAACCAACAAGTCAGAGTAAGTAAATAACGTATTCCTATTGGTCAACTCTTTGTCCAATCAGGTTATTTCCCGACCACACAGTAACATGAAACATAAATCACTTCTGATTTGGCGGCTAATGACTTGAAATGTTCATATCCATTTACACCTTTACCTATTAATGGTGATTGAAAGTGAAATAAAAATTCATTGAACTTTGTATAGGCGAGAAAGTGAATGCTCAAATCAACTGATGTGGTTGTGAACTGTCATCAACTCAGATGGCTGGAATATATGGTATACAGACTTAGCCACCGTCTCCTCCGACACAAAATGTGCGCCGGAGTAGATTCACGATGGAAAACGATGACAGTTGGCGAGAATAAAACATGGTATCATTCGATGTCTGTCGCTCTGAGACGACCTGCGGTCAGCGTGACAACAGAAACTAGTGGTTGGAGACTCTTGGTAACATCCACTACTTTCTTCCTGATTTTCTCGCGCTACATACCTCCTAATTTTGCCTTCAATTTCACTCATGACCCTGAAATAACCTAGCACAGCTGTTTTTACACCGTTACTAGTTTTTCTTTCCCCCTGACCTCGAGGCTAGACTCTCACTGGCTGTTAATTATACGTGGATTTAGTGTTGTCAAGGTCATTTAGAAATGTATATATTCAGCATCGATGCCGACTGTCTCCTCTTTTTGCTTTTGCGTTTTATTGTGGTGACGTTCCGATTTGCGTTAAGGGTCAGTTGGTTTGCACGTTAGGATAGTATCGTTCGTGGTCTGCTGGGCTCATAGTGTTAGGTTTTACTACCGGTCATAACATCTCGTTTGATGTGATGAGGTGTGGCAACTCAAACTGTTACGTAGAAATCCTGGATCCTGTGCTGTTAGTGACTGAGAGAAGTCGGAAAAGGCTTGTAACCTAAGTAGTCAATGTTTTCTACATGCACTTGTTAGAAAATTTGTTACATCGGTTACCCTCATCCTCACACACATACACACGGTTAGGGGGCTTGTGTCGAAAGTTCATCCTTACATTCAATGGTTCTTTCTTGAAATATAATATCAGTAAATCAAGTGTTGAGCGAAAGGGTTCATTGGGCTAGGCAACCAACGACGAATAGATCAATGGTTCGAAACCCCGCTACACCGACTGAAATCTTGGCCAACAGCACAAGGGAGACAGAAATCACCATCGCAATAAAACCCATTTATCGCACCGGACACAGACACACACACATACACTAAGGGTATACACATAGGGCCAGAACACAAACAAAACACAACCGTAAGAAAACTTCAGTTCGCCTTCATTTTTCTCGGCGACAATCTACGCGGTGGAGGCTTATTCTTAGCATCATTGACGCTGACACCGGGTACATTCCAATAGTAGACTAACTGTACAAGTAGTAGGTAGTTGCACAAGGCGGCAAGAATACACGATACAATCATCAATCGATCACCAGTCTCTTGAATCGATGTAAATATACGCGCAGTTGAGCCAACAGCGAATAATACCACTGTGATAGCTGACAACTGGCCCGTTGTACCACTACACCAATTCGTCCATATTTGTGCAATCTATAAAAATAGGTAGAAAAGTATCAGAAGACGCCAAATACGATTGGATAGTTTTGAACGGGAAGCCAGCAAATCAGATCCAGCATACACCCACGCTCTCACCAAGGGACCAATCAGATCACACTTGGACAAAATAGTACTTCATATAAATGTGCATACAGAAATAATTCCTTCGCTTGATTGTGCAGCTGTGTCTAGCATGATATTGAGACGTTTGCCAACTTAAATCTTCGCTACGGGGAACAAATCGCTGTAAGCAGTTTAGCTTGGTAGTAATTTTATTAACCGAGAATACTGTTGTTCTCGAAACAGGACTAAAGCCGCCAAGTTAAGAGGTTCATCATAATTTCAGCGCAGTTTTGATGGATGTTAGTTACTTGGAAGACCTATTTAGCGAAGGTTTCATGCTTGTTAGCAGTCGTTGACGAGGCATATCGGCAACCTGCGCGCATCTGATAATCCTTGGGGCATCTGGACACACGTCAACTAGTGTTGTAATCAGCAACGTTGCCCAAATAGTTCAGTGGTAAGACCACTGACTACATCATTCAGTGATACGTGTTCGAACCCCACACGGTATATCAGTTTCCCCGCAGGTACATCTTGCTGGGTGTTCAAGGCTACACTGCGAATTCCATGGTATTTACTCATTCACACACCACTAAAGTATGATTTGATTACACAAGATACTCATCGTTCGATGCCTAACCTCTCTTTTATTACTGCTTATCTCTGACGTCTGTTACGATAGTTTTGTTGAATGTTACTCTGGAGATGAGACAACTGAGTGTATATAAAAGGTGTACCTAGGAAATTTGAGCGACTGCAATTCTAATCCAATGATGTACACACGAATCATTGGTCACAGAATTGTTGTGCGTATTATCTAACCGGTTGTGTGTGGTGGAACCACCATGGGGTAATGACGCAAAAACTATAGTGTAATCTTAGGTAGAAGAGGTTGGAAACCCACATTGATTCTTCCGGTTGACATATACTATACACGGCTAACCCCTATTTCTACCTGATATAGGAAGTGGTCTGAGCGCCACTGTATAGTCAGGAAACAACCTGATTGGTCAATGTCATCCTACAGTTGGCCAATCAGAATAGAATATTGACTTTTGACCCAGTAAGTTTTTTGTTCATGAAAACTGTATATAAATGATCTATATTTGGTCGAATTAAGTTAGGCTTGGAAAAAGGTTAGATGTGGTAAGGCAACAACCTGACATCAGTCCAGGAAGTCTCTGACTGTTGGTGTCAGCGAAGTGAAGAGATGGAAACTTCGGGCTTGAGGTCTATATGATAACAGACGTCCTGTTGACGACTGCTATAGTAAGTATGAAATTCAAGTGTTCAGGGATCCCTACATACACTCCCTTGATGAGTTTAGAAGTTACTTACTGACTTCATGGATTCATCACCAATATCAATCTAAGACAAGGCATTATTGAACGACAGTTCAAGTTGCCATATCTCATATCGGCGTATAGGGTAACAAGCCGAAAAGATGAAGAAGGAGAGGGAAATTGATCACCCCCAAGTCTTTTCCCAGTCTGAATCTACTTTGGTCAACATTGTGGGATGAGGCAGACAATGGTCAGGTATATGTAACATATGTCCCAGCCAGCCAATCATCTCAGTCGATGAAGGTTTACAATCGCATCAACTGTCTTACCTCTCCTCTCACCTTAAAAGTCTACACCTGACATCTGCGTTACCCACGTGGAAACACTATGATATACCGCGGTGGTCAAACATCTGAAACTTTTTCACATCCTCTACCTTCATTGGCCATGTTTCATAGCCATATAGCGGAACACAGAGAACTGCAGTACAGTACACTCAACCCCCTTAACAATCTAAAGATACATGTTAGTGTGAATATTTCGATGTCAAGGAGTGAATACATCTGTGCGATTTTGACCCATTTCCAGACATGTCTTCAAGCATTAATTCCTCGGGGACTCCAGGAGCCACAGTGTCTTTTGTATTCATGTAGAGATTTCATCGATCACTGACCAACACACTAGAGCTAGTTCGACCACTTCACTTCGATTTCAACTTCTCAGGATATACTTGCCAACCAGTAGCATTATAAAATTCCATAGAAGACATGTAGTAAACTTTCAGAAATCAATATTGCAACACTCACCTTAGACGATAGCATAATTGGAAGATTGGCTGTTTGTAATAACATTAAAGTGGACAGAGGAAGGGTTGGCGACAAGAGGACAGCTAAACCCGCCATGTAGGTGCATGTGAATAACACAGCCTTAGCACGTGAATACGTCCAAGTGATGGCCATTATAGCTAACAAGAAATCCTGTATACCCAAGAATATCCCTTCACCATAAGAGCTGGACGGTAGGGTGTCGGAATGATACAAGAAAATGAATAAATGAAATAAACAACTGAATAGCCGGTAAAACAATGTAAAGTGGGGGTGGGGGGTGGGGTGAAGATACTCAGATATACTTTTTTAAACTATAAATGATGATGGAGATAAACATCGAACAGTAACTGGCCAGCCATAACAAAAACACACCTCAAAAAGGTTTTCAATCGGAAAGGTAAATGCTAAAATTTTAAAAAAAGCGGCGTTAATTAGCCACCGAAGTTTCAATATCATGCTACACATCATTGTCACAGCTGACGAAGGAATTATTTATGTATGAATATTTATGACGTGCTATCCTATCTAAGTGTAATGTGACTGGTCTCTTAGTGAGTGTGTAGGCGTGTGTTGAACCTGATTGGTTGACTTCTTGCCTTCAGTTTTTCAACATACGCCCACAAGTTCATTGGGCGACCAATCAGATCGCTTGGCTGACATTGGAATATTAGCCAATTAGAACCTTAGCTCATGGAATAACTGAATTCGAGCACAGTATCATCTATTATGACCTTGTCTGGTTGTGATCGTCCAATTCACGCGACTCGACGCTAACCTTGAACGTGATTGGTCTAGAAAGACATTTGACAAATCTGGTATACTCAAACAACCCCCGCCGCACGATGAGTCATGTAATTCAGACGGTCTAGATTCATTTGTGTGCATACAACTAGATATCTTGACCACAACGTACCATAATTTTTTAACCAATGAGACTTGAAGGTCAAAAAATGAGATATAATGCACAATATGATGATGTTGGAATTATTTCTGAACTGTAAGTCATATAGAAACCAGTTAGGAGTCAATCGAAAGCTCTTGAACTGAGCCATTCAATAATGTTTCCAATTAGATCATAAACGACTGATGACACTACACTTATCTGAAGTGATTCAGTTTCCACTTTCGATTGATAGAACACGACAGTATTGTTTCATTAACAAGGCAGTGATTTTACGATCTTCACATCCTGTTGAAGGTTGACCTAAGATACTACGATACTTCAGTTAGAGGGATATAACACAAACGAGCCGTTCACTTTGCAAATAACTGAGTGTCTATCAGAAACCGACGGCACAATGAACTGTAATACTCCTGAAAACTGAGGATAATTTGGTCCCCCATGTTGAAAGAAGCGCTTAGCCTATGTATGCTCCCTTCTGAGTGCAAATGATCATGGTATACACGCCTAAACTGACAAACTGGAACCGCGGTATACTCATCCGTATAACAGGTGTTGAAATGCCGTGACATAGTCGGTCACTGGGCGTACACGAAACGAAACCCTAGAACCAAATCGTACAACTTGGTACAAATGTATATCGGCCAACTGAATCTGTTAAATTTGGTGTCAGGTTTTCGTCTGACTATTCTGAACTTTCTTCCCAAGCCAAAGCATATGAAAGAATGAATATGTGTATGCACCATTATGATTGATTTCTAGCTATTCCACGAAGACTCCTCAACCACTTTGGTTACCATCGTCTCAAGAAACCCTCCTGACACAGTTCAAATCAACGGTTAACCTCTATTCAACGTCTTCAAAAAACCTTACATATTTTATGAATGTCTTCACCTAACAGGACAACAATACTCTCTGGATACTTCATGTAACGTAGTAGGTGTCATCTTGAGAGTACACGAATCTCTGTAGCATATCATAATACAAGCAATCCAATTGAAATATACTCTTGAGAAAACTACAAGAAATCCATGTATGCTAACTTAAATTGTTTAAGTGAAAGTAGACTGTCTAGTTGAAGTCCATCGGACAACTGAAACTAGTAGCTGAAAACTATGAGTGAGTGCTTAAGTGAGTGAGTGAGTTCGAGAGTGCCTGAGTGAGTAAATGAGTGGGTGAGTGAATGAATGAATGAGAGAGTGCTTGGATGAGTAGATGATTGGGTGCTCAAGTGAGTGAGTGGGTGAGTAAACAAATGAATGAGTGTGTGAGTGAATATAGATTGTGGAGTTAGTGAGTGAATGAGTGGGTAAGCGAGTGAATGAGTGGGAGAGTGCCTGAGTGAGTAAATGAGTGAGTGCTTGAGTGAGTGACCCAGAACCGATTATGATGAAATTGTTAGTTTGTGTTAACAAGGAAATCATATATGTAAGTAGTATATATATATGCAGTAGTAATAATAATTACGATATGTTACTCTTTGTTGTTTTCGTTACTGGATAGAATTGTTCAACCTCTAGTGGTATATGGCCGGCTTGTATGCCGATGCCTGGATATTGCCTGAATATTCATTATCGTTTACTTGGTTGTAGCTACTAGAAGAATTTAAGACGCATATTTCGTCCTATTTAAGTCTCGTCCGCTAAACGTACTTGCACCCCAGTACCGAGTGATGTCATTCCACACCCCACCCCACCCGAGACCCGAACCCCGTACCCATCACTTCAGACGCCCAGGGGAACGATGGGCCACCTCTTGTACAACAGATATTAGTTATTACTGTTTGCTGGTAAGCTTTTAATTCTCCATTGTTTTACTGGATCCAATTGTCCGACCGACAAGTCCCAAAACAGGACGAAACGCACGTCCTATATACTTCTGCTAGTCACAACCAAGTATATCATCAGTAGTAATAATGATAATAATGGTAGTAGTAATAATGGTAATAGTAGCAACATTAGTCCTCCTAATCATAGGAAACATCACAACAATAGCATCATTACAGATAATAATAATAATAATAATAATAATAATAATAATAATAATAATAATAATAGTGGTAGTAGTATTAGCGATAATATTATATAATATTGGAAGTGGTTGAGTGTGTTGACCACTTCACTTACCTGAGAAGTAGGATCAGCCCTGGTGTGTTGGTCAGTTGCCGATGAAATCTCTGCACGGATACAAAAAGCTCGATTGGCTTTTGCTAATTTACGCCATCTATGGCGCTGCCGTGATATCCGTTTGTCTATTAAAGGTCACGTTTACTGCACAGCAGTCCCGCTCTGTTCTACTGTATAGCTTTGAAACATGCCCACTGAAGGTGGAAGATATGAGAAGGCGGCTTCAGGTGTTTGACTACCGTTACCTTAGTATAGGCCATATTCCATGGTGTCACCACGTGAGTAATACAGACGTCAGGTGTAGAGTTATGAACCTTCACTGATTGAAATGGTTTAGACACGTACTACGTATGCTTAGTCACTGATTGCCTCGTCACACAATGTTGGCCGAAGTGTAGGTTTAAACTGGAAAAAGGCCCGAGGTGGCCAAATTGAAACATGGCACCAATGTATGAAGTCTCAGAGTGCTGATTTGAGTCATGCGGGTCGATGTAGACCAGGTGGTTGGGGTCGGTGGGACAATAGGAACTAGTGGTTGGAGACTAAATCTAGGTGATCACATGGCTGAGAACCGATGTCAGTGGCGCAGATGCATCTCCACACACATTTTCCTCATCTTAACGACGCTATACCGAATCTCACCACTTTTTCATTCTTTCTTTCTCTCTTTTCGTACTTTATATTTACTTTGACTGCATTCTCTTATCTTCATCTTTAACCTCACTACCTTTCTACTTGATCTACTGATATGAGGTATGGCAAGTTGGACCGTTACGCAGTAATGTCTGGTTCTATGTTGATATTGATGATGATGATGACCTAATACTGGAAATAATAGCAATGATAATGATATTCATAACGATAACAATAGTAGTGTAGTGAGGGTTGCTGGTCAGAATGGATACATAAGTAGTATATGTTGAGAGGCAGGCAGAAATCATCGGGAATTAACAGCAATCAGTAAAGATTCTGCCCAGAGAAACGCAAGAGACAATATGGGTGTACAAAGAGCAAATCAATAGAGAAGCAGAAGAGGAAATGAATCACGTTATACAAATGACTGTTTGTACAACCTGTTAATAACAGATATTCTTTCCAGAGTCTCCGTCTTGTCGTTTCCTACAACTGGTGTCGCCGCTTCTAGACGTGTTAAAGATTCTGTGGCCTGCAGTGTTCGAGGATGGAGACATCAAGGTCTTCTTTAAAGACTGCGAGTCGATCGCGGAGCTGTCTGTTCGTAATCTAGGCGCGAAGGTACTGGTGCTTGAGGAGAAGAGCGAAAGCGGCAAATGACGGCGTGAAACGCACAGATGGGAAAGAGACTTGGCAGAGAATGACTGAACGCCTGCAGACAGAGTTTGACGTTTCAGCGGACAGGGAGCTGGCGATGCAGCAGTCCTGGAGCACAAAACTGGCAATAAACGAAGGTCTGATGGTACTGGCTGTGAAGTTGACTATACTACTTCGGCGAGCCCTTCCCTCTTTGGATGAGGACTCCTAGGAGCAGCTGCTAGCTGCACAGTTCACTGAAAGTGTCCCAATTGCCATCGCTCAGCAGCTATGACTAGTGAACGCAGCCCAACCTATGGATATTAGTGGGCTGACGAAGGTAACCAGACAGCAAATAGGTAGAGCAGTAACTGCGACTGAGCCACTAAGGGTAAATAAGTGCAGAAAACGACAACACCGAGACATCTTGTACGATAGTCATCAAATATTGTACATCTTTCACTAAAACGGTCATTGCTCAATGTGCTTGTATCTCCACTTGCTCTTAATACGCCCACATTATTTCTCGCGTTTCTCTGGGCAGAATATTTACTCACCGTAGGTAACTGCCTATGATTCCTGCGACCTCCTGAACATATACTACTCAAATACCCGCTCTGATCAGTAGCACCCACTACAGTAATAGTAGTAGCAGTAGCGATAATAAAACTGAAAGCGATACTAGTAGTTACAATAGTGATAACAATAACAGTAGTAGTAATAATAATAATCAACGGAAGGAACATAAAGGAAGTAGCCTCTTTCACCTACCTTCCTAGGCAGCATCGTCTCAACTACAGGCGGCACAGGCACAGACGAGGATGTCAAAGCAGACAGGATCGGAAAGACAGCAAGACAGGCGTTCATTAAGCTGAAACCGTTGTGGTGATCTGCACTGCACTGCACTCAGCACAAACCATGAACAACATCCGGATTTTCAACACCAACGTCAAGTCACTGCTTCTATGTGATGGTTAAGAGACTTGGTGCCTTACCAAAGGCATTTCCAACAAACTACACACATTCACAAACACCTGCTGCCTACACTGACTCCTTACTGAAGCTCAGATGGATGACCAGAAAGAATCAGCAACAAGGAACACTGACTGGCTGGCAACAAACCAACCAAGAACCTGTCGCTCAACAAATATGCAGTGGGAGGAAATGGAGATGGATTGGGCATACACTGAGAAGGCAGATTGAGGACACCAGGCACCAGGCCAGATGCTCGAGTGGAACCCAGATGGAAAGCGACGCGTTGGGCATCCCAGCTGAGGGTGACATGGAGGAGGTCGTGTGAGGAAGAAGTGAGAGCTTCTGGGCTGTCATGGAGCCAGGTCCAAAAGTTTGCAAAGAACAGAGTGTACTGGAGACGTGTTACTGAAGCCCTATGTTCCATTAGGAACCCAAGGGACACAATTATAATAATAATGGTAATCATAGCCGTGATCGTAGCGGAAATAATAGTTATAGCACTGGTGATAATAATGATTATAATAGTAGCGGGAGTAGTAACTATGATAGTAATCATAGTAGTGATAAGAGTATTTATTATTATTATTATTTGTCTTTTGGGTTCCTGGTGGAACATGGAGGCTTTAGTTGCACGTCATCATTTCACTCTCTTCTCTCCAATCTCCTTAAGCTGGCTCCGCCAATGCCCATAACCTTTCATTTCTTCATCACACAATCTCCTCCATATCACCCTCCGACGCCCAACTCGCCGTCTCCACTCGACGGCCTGCACTGGCGAGTGATTTCTCATTGTATGCCCGATCCATCTCCATTTTCTGCATATTTGTTGGGCGATAGGTTCTTGCTTCATTGGTTCGTTGTCAGAGTTCCTCCTTGTTTATTCTTATTATTCTGCCCATCTGATCTGATCTTCAGTATCGTGTGAACGTAGGCGGCAGCTATTGATTTACGATGTCCGCAGTTTGTTGGAAATGGTCTTCGTAACGCGTCAAGTCTCTCAACCACCACATAGAAGCAAGCATTGACTTGACTGACATTAGTGTTGAAAATCCGGATCTCCTTTATCTTGATTATTTCAGATTAATGCAATAAGGCCTGTCTTGCTGTCTTTCCCATACTGGCTTCGACATCTTCATCTGTGCCGCCGCCACCCGTAGTTGAAACGATGCTGTCTCCTAGATAGGTACGTAGGTAAGTAGGTAGGTGGGTAGGTAGGTAGATATGTGTGTAGGTACTTAGGTGAAGGAGACAACTTCCTTCACGTTTGTCCCCTTGATAGTGACCGGTGCTTGTTGTTGGGAATCTTCTTCACCTGTCTTCTCCATGTTCACCTGAAGGAAGTCCCATCTTCGCTGCCCCTTCTGTCAACTTGTTAGTTTACGCCTGTAGATCATCGAGTTTGTGCGACACTAGACATAAATCATTATGGACGGAATCCAAATCTTCTAGTGTCTTTTCATCGGTCCAGTCAGCGCGTATGCCCCTCTTCCTGCTCCTCACAGTTTCTTGCATGATCCACTCCAGCCCAGTCGACCATAATCAGGAAGATCATCGGTGGTGATAGTAGGCAACATCGTCTTATTCCTTTCTGTCCTCACTTCACTTCAAAGGCATCACTGAGCTTTCCATTGTGAATCACCTGGCATGTAGCATCATCATATAGCATATAGCTGGTGTTGAATGAGGTTGATAAAGGTCAGGTTTGTCACAATGAAATCATAATGTTGAAGCAGCTGCTAAATTTCTTCTTGGTCGACGTTACCAAAGGCCTTTTTCAAAGTGGATGAAGTTCAGGAAAGTGACAAGAGTAGTGAGGTAAATAAGTATTTCTCAAGTTTGTGTTCATCATGGACTGACTGACATCAGTTGGAGGAAGGTTGGAAAGCTGGGAGCACTGAACAGCAGTGCGCATCCACCACGTCAAGTATTGAACCCACCATTCTCAACTTCCATGGCCAGTAAGTTTCCAGTAGGGTCACCGGAATCCAACAGCGCATATTTCCAAGTTCCATCAGTTCACGACATAGAGTAACCCCCACCCAGTAATCATGATAACTGCAGTAGTAATAGTAGTGGTGGTAATAACGGTAATGATAGTAATAATCTATGATTATCAAAATTGCCAAGAAAACCTATAACCCAGGCATCCACGCAGGAGAGAGTTTACAACCTTATCGACCAACTTTCCCCCATCTTCGCCTCGCTTCACCTCACCTCAACAAGTCACTCACTATTCAACAAAAGTTTACTCAACTATAAAAATTACCTAAAATAATTACTTCCTGTTTAAACTGTGTGCATAACGCATTATGGTGCAACAATACATTTCAAAGAATCTGATCATACATACATACATACACACACACACACACAACCTAGTTTTCGAGTTGGCCTCACCAAAGGAGATTTAATGTGTTCTTGACCAGACAGCAATGACTTCAACTTTCTACAAGAATTTCAAGAGTCTGTATTCAACAGATTTTGTGAATAGTGGTGGGTAGAACGTGGAAACTCAGTCAAACAACTTAGACACCTGTGATAATAACATGTTTATGGGTTCAGGTGATTCGATTTACTTCTGAAAACACTTGCCATTCATCCAAATCAATATAGGACCATATATTACTGCCTAAGAGTTCAAGTTGCCCCACCTTGTATCAGGACATCAAGGAAGCAGACAGTCAGGCAGAAGTTGAAAAAAAGGAAGAAAGAATGAGAAAATGGTGAGATTCGGTATAGCGGTGAAGATGAGGATAATGTGTGTGGGGATACATCTGCACCACTCACATCAGTTCTCACCCAACCACTGTTTTCTCTTATCCCGCGGACCACAACCGGTTAGTCTACATCGCCCCACATGGCTCAAACCGACAGTCAGAGACTTCATACATTGGTGTCATGTTTTAGTCTGGTTACCCCCTGTCACCTTTTTTCAGTCTAAACCTACACTTCGGACAACATTGTGTGACGAGGCAATCGGCGACTAGGCATACGTAACACGTGTCCCAGACAACCATCTCAGTTCATGAAGGTTCACAACACATCAACTGACTTACCCCTTCTCCCTCCCTAAAACTCTACACCTGACTTATGCGTTACTCACCTAGTCACACCACGGAATATGGCCTATACACTACGAAGGTGAGGGTGGTCAAACACTTTAGCTTTCTCATGTGTTTCACCTTCAATGGCCGGACTGCTGTGCAGTGCACGCGATCCTTAATAGATAACCGGATATCACGTTATCAAAAAGCCAACCGAGCCTTTTGTATTCGTGCAGAGACTTCATCGGCCAGTGAGCTACCAGGGTTGATCCCACTTCGCAGATAAGTGACCTTCATGAATCTATGAATCCCGCCCCTATGTATATGTCAACCTTATGTTCTTGTGAACTGGTAGATACAATGCGATATGTCACATAATCGGCCACCTTGAACACTCTTCCAATCTAAACCGCCCCCCCCCTCCGTCTAGTATCCTGTCGAAGTAGCCATAAATAGCTGTGCAGAACAGAGAGAGAGAAAGACGAAGGGGGAGAGGAGGGGTGGATAAGTTATCTTGACTCACCTGAACGGAAATTTATTCGCAATTGAATATACACTCATCGAGTAAACGAAATTAACTCGAGTAGAATCGATAGTATACTTAATCCATAAGCATTTTTACACTTAGCAACTTTTAACACTTGTGGAATTTTCACTATAAGATTAAAATTATTATAATTAAATTAGTAATAGTATTCTACTTACCAAGTGATGAGCCAATAATTATTCCATAACCTAGTAATTTGCTGAAAACGGTTTTAAAACAGGGACCTAAAATATTTGATGATAGATGATTGATATTGGTTAAATTTTGAGGGGTTGTGGAGATTTGGAATTATTTCAAGTTGTTATTCATCGAAGACTGACTGACAAGCTGGTCGCGGAACCTGAAGGTCGCGGGTTCGATCCCTGCTCGTGGGGTCGTGGGTGCGCACTGCTGAGGAGTCCCATACTAGGACGAAACAGCTGTCCAGTGCTCCCAGGTTTCCTTTGTTCCTCCAACTGATGTCAGTCTTCGATGAATAACAACTTGATATTGGTTAGTTAGAATAGAGACAGAAAGACTTACCATCGAGAAATTCACCATGTTTTGTATACTTATAAAAGCATTCTTCCAGTGACATATTTATGAGATAGGTGGGAAGGGAACAATAAGCTATCTAAAAGGGAAAGGAAAGAAAAGATAGAAGGTATGACTGACTGACTATATTGAGGTAGAATTTGGCATACAACTGAATCGCTCCGACCTATGAAAGAATCTAGAAAGTGAGACCGATTGATGTTCAGATATTTCATCTTGGGGAACCCAGCTAGCACCGCTTAGAGGAACAGTCAGAGACTTCATCGGTTGGTACCATCTTGAATCATCTCCCATTGTTATCCAGTGTCCCGAAGCATTACACGTTAAGGTAAGCAGTAGTTCGGCATACGCAGTAAATGTCCAAACCATCTCAGTTGATTAAGATTCACAATCTCATCGACCGACTTGCCTTTTGCTGCCAAGTACCCTGCAACTGGATTCAAAACTACGATCGGAACAGGCTGGCTAGATTCAGGAAGTACAAATCATGTCAAGATCAATTTGCGACGCTACACCACAGATCATCATAGAACACAGTATAGAATGACAGTCAACTGGATCCATACCTCAAATTCATCGACTTTGAAAAGGCCTTCGACAGCGTCGACCGAGAACTAATTTGCCAGGCAGTTGCTTCAACACTATGGAATACCACAAACCTTTATCAATCTCATTCAACAACTATATGAAGATGCCACATACCAAGTAATTCACAATGGGAAGCTCAGTGATGCTTTTGAAATGAAGTGAAGACAACAGTAAGACAAGATTGCCTGCTATCATCACCCATGATATTCCTGATTGTGGTCGACTGGATCATGCAACAAACAGTGAGGAGCAGTGAGAAGACGGGGATACACTGACTGGACCGGGGAAAACATCCTAGAAGATTTGGATTTCGCCAATGATGATTTGTGTTGAATGTCACACAAACTTGAAGATCTACTGGCGAAAACTAACAAGTTGACAGAAAAGGTAGGGCACGGTAGGGCAGGGCAGGGCAGCGAAGACGGGACTTCAAGTGAACGTAGAGATGACAGAGGTGATGAAGATACCCAACCAACACCACTACCACCACCACCACCAACAACAACAACAACAAGCTCCAATCACCATAAACGGGAGAAACTCAAAGGAAATAGCCTCTTTCACCTACCTTCCTAGGCAGCATCGTCTCAACTACAGGCGGCACAGGCACAGACGAGGATGTCAAAGCAGCCAGGATCGGAAACACAGCATGACAGGCGTTTATTAACCTGAAACTAGTGTGGTGATCTTCTACACTGCACTGCACTCAGCACAAACCATGAACAACATCCGGATTTTCAACACCAACGTCAAGTCACTGCTTCTATGTGATGGTTAAGAGACTTGGTGCCTTACCAAAGGCATTTCCAACAAACTACACACATTCACAAACACCTGCTGCCTACACTGACTCCTTACTGAAGCTCAGATGGATGACCAGAAAGAATCAGCAACAAGGAACACTGACTGGCTGGCAACAAACCAACCAAGAACCTGTCGCTCAACAAATATGCAGTGGAGGAAATGGAGATGGATTGGGCATACACTGAGAAGGCAGATTGAGGACACCAGGCACCAGGCCAGATGCTCGAGTGGAACCCAGATGGAAAGCGACGCGTTGGGCATCCCAGCTGAGGGTGACATGGAGGAGGTCGTGTGAGGAAGAAGTGAGAGCTTCTGGGCTGTCATGGAGCCAGGTCCAAAAGTTTGCAAAGAACAGAGTGTACTGGAGACGTGTTACTGAAGCCCTATGTTCCATTAGGAACCCTAGGGACAAATAATAATAATTATTTTCCTCTCAGACTACTTTATCTTTCCTGATATCATCTTATCTATCCACCTATTCTTTGTATACTACTATGAAGTATGGCAACTTGAACCAAGCTACCTGTATACGAGATACCTTCTAGATTTTGTTAATTATTACCACTTTGTTGAAAATTCTCTTGACTGATCTGTCTAACATACACAGAATTCTGTCTCTTTTTTTAGTACAACAGTTGGTGGTCTAACCATCATTATTAATATTATCATTTGTCCCATGGGTTCCTAGTGGAACATGGAGGCTTAAGTAGCAGGTCACTATTTCACTCTCTTCTCTCCAGTCTGGCTACACGACTCTCTCCATAAGCTTTCATATCTTCCTCACACAATCTCCTCCATGCCACCCTCCGACGCCCAACTCGTTCTTCCCTATCTGGCTTCTACTCGACGGTCTGACCTGGTGCGTGATGTCCACAAACCGTCTTCTCAGTGTATGTCCAATCCAATCCATCTCCACTTTCTCCTTCTACATATTTGTTGGGCGATAGGTTTTTGATTCGGTGGTTGGTTCGTTGCCAGCCAGCCAGAGTTCCTTGTTGCTTATTCCTATTATCGTGGCAATCTGATCTTCAGTATCGAGCGAGTGTAGGCGGCAGCTGTTCATGTATGTCTGCAGTTTGTTCGAAATGCTTTTCGTGAAGCGCCAAGTCTCTCAACCATCACATAGAAGCAAGTACTGACTTGACGGATATAGTGTTGAAAATCCGGATCTCCTTCTTCATGCTGAGTACAGTGCAGTGGATCTCCACACTGATTATTTCAGATTAATGCAAGGCCTGTCTTGCTGTCTTTCCTGTCCTCATCTGTGCCCGCGCCGCCTGTAGTTGAAACGATGCAGCCCAGGTAGGTGAAAGAGACAACTTCCTTTAGATTTTTACCGTTGATGGTGGTTGCTGCTTGTTGTTGACAGAGAGAGGCAGATAGTCTCCCAGGGCAGGCAGCTAGAACGTTAGGCAAAATACTTTGAACCACAGTTCAATTGCAGTCAGCAACGCTTCAGTTGCCAAACGTTCAGCCTCAACCCGAAATTGAGAAAACTGCATAGAGCTTGAAACTATGCAAAGTAGTAGCACCTAACAGATAGCTACTTGAAGTTTTCAAGGATAGACGTAGGAAGTTGGTGATAAGAGTGATCTATGCACTAGGAACCACCTAGCGTATGTCAATCAGTTATTCTAACGGAATGTTGTACTTCACTGATCATCCCAGTCTATTAGAATGGAGAGAAATCTTCATATCACAAACATAGGGCGATTAGTCTGATTAACGTTGTGTGCAAGATTCTAAGGTCCATAGTTATCCGACGCATAACTGGAGATCGACAACAGAAAACCCGAGGAAACCAGACAGTTTTCACACCTGAATAACGGTGTATAAACTATATTATTACCATTTGGTGATAGGTTCTGGAACACAGGCATAACTACCAGCTAGTGGCCAACACTTGTCATATTTCTTGACCTGAATGCGGCATTTTTGACCATGAAGTGTTGTGGTAGTGTCTCACCGTGAAATCAGTACCGAGTAAGTATATAACACTAATCAAAGTTATCTACTCGAACACACACAGCCGTGTAAGGGTTAATGGGACGTTGTCATTCGTGTTGGCGACAACCAGTAGTGTCCGTTGGGAACACCCACTGTCACCGTCCCTATTTAACTTCGCTATAGACGTAATCATGGAAATAACCCTAGGGATTGACCTACCATCTAAAATGCGTTGCCTCTAAATATGGCCTGCTGCAACCACTCCCAGTCTAATGATAGGGAGTAAAGTGGTGGAATGAGTCAACCACTTCATTTACTTGGAGAGTTGCATCAGCCTGAACTTGTTGGTTGCTGATGAAATCTCAGCTCGGATACAAAAGGCCTGTTTGACATTTGCCAACTTGCTTCGTCTATCAAAAGACAAGTATACCGAGCTGCAGTACCTTCTCTCCTCTAAAGTCATCGTGTGACCAATGCTAACGCCACTTTACAGATACTAGGGGCAAGGCAGACGACTTGCAATCCTATGCTGGGTGAAGTTGGATAAGGTTAGAAGAAGATTCAGAATGGCTATACCAAGACTTGGCACCAATCGATGTAGTCTCCGACTGTTGGTCTGAACTGTGTAGGGTGATGAAGACTACCTGGTTGCGGTTCCCGAGACGAAAAGAATCAGTGGTCGGGGACTCTTGGTGAAATGTCTGGATGGCTCAGATGCATTCACATCTTAGCTTCTTCTTAAGCTTGAATATTTGCACCAACCTTTATCTTCAAACTGCTTGTCTACTTTAAAATCAGTCTACTTCTAAGCACTTGTGTGCGACGTTCTACGTTAGATTTGTCCATCTAACTTCTATTCTGAAGCTTCCACCTGAAACTTTTGCCATTTCTTCTACACTCAATGATCATGGTTCACTTTCATATCATAGAACAAAACGATCTTCAGAGCAGTACACCCTACCCTCAATAAGAAATCAGATTTCACGGAGGTACAATATTACATGTAAGACCAAATCAGCCTTCTGTATCCGTGTAGAGCCACTAACCAGCTAGTACTTACCAAGTAAGTGAAGTGGTTAACTCTTTCAACCAGTTTACTCCCTATCGTTAGATGAAGCATGAACACATAATCGGGGGTAACAATTTAAATTTCGGTGGAGAGAAACTCATTGAAAACATTCTCAACTAGTCGCTCAATGTGTTCACCTAACAGAACTATGTCATCTGCGTATTCTAGCTGCACAAAGGAGTTTCCCACCATATGATATCGTCAAGCCTCAAGATGGACGACACTGTCATGATCCTGGTGAGTATCAATCGAGTTTCATCCACCATCCAGATCAACCTAGAACCAGGCATTCCTGCGTAACGGTCCGAGTAGAAAGGTGGTGAGGTGAAAGATGAAGATAAGGAAATTCAGTCGAAAGAAAGATAAAGTACCAAAAGAGAGAAACGAAGAACAAGGAAGTGGTGAGATTCGGTATACCGGTCAACATGAAGATAATGTATGTATACATCTGCACCATTCACATCGGTTCTCAGCCATATCATCACCTACAGTCAGTCTCCAACCACTGGTTTCTCTTCGCCCGCCGATCCCAATCAGCTAGTCCACATCACCCCAACATGGCTCAAATCAATAGTCAAACACTTCACACATCAGTGTCATGGTTTGGTTTGGCCAACTCGGGCCTTTCTCCAGCCTGAACCTACTTCGGCCAACATTGTGTGACGAGGTAGATGGCCACTACGCATACGTAACACACGTCCCAGACAACCATCTCAGTTCATGAAGGTTCACAACACTATCAACTGATTTACCTATACTCCGTCGCTAAAACTCTATACCTGACTTCTGCATTACTCATGTGGTGACACCACGGAATACGGCCTACACACTAAGAAGGCAATGGTGGTCAAACAGTTGAAGCCGCCTTCTCATGTCTTCCATCTTTAATGGTCATGTTTCACAGCCATACTGTAGAACAGACCGGACTGCTGTGCAGTACACGTGACCCTTAATAGACAATCGCATATCACGGTGGCGCCATAGGTGATGTTAGTTGGTGAAAGCCAATGGAGCCTTTTGTATCCGTGCAGAGATTTCATCAGCAACTGACCTACTAGGGCTGATCCTACTTCCCAGGTAAGTGAAGTGGTCAACACACTCAACCACTACACTAACTCTCTATTGTTAACCGACGCACCGTTGAAGACCAATCCTGGAGCAACAATTTGCATTTGGGTGATGAGAAACACATAACCCTAACCCTAACCGCATCCCAAACATTCTCAATTTCCCGCTCAAAGTATTCAGAAGACTCTGCATCTTCACTTAATAGGAATATGTCATCTGCATATTCTGTAGATTGATCTCCAGATAGAATTATCACCTTGTTAGTAACAAAATCACGAAAGGGAACATTGGATTTTTTTTCACACTTGAGTGATTTTGATACATGAATGAGCAGTATAGAAAGTGTTGAGGACATTGTTCAAATCAGATTCTTCATCATATGTCATCGATGTGCCTTTTCCAAGAGCTTACCTGACTGAGTAATGAACTAAGGACAGACCATAAATCAATCAACCAGGAGTGATTAACAATCGACTTTTCTTCAGTTCGAGTGATTGTAAACATGATTGTACAGCTTTTAGGGAATAAAGTCGTCAGAAAGAAAATTCTCAATATTTTTAAAAAACTTATTTATCCCTTCAGCCTTTCAGTAGTACTGAGGAAGTTGATGAATTGGACATACACTGAGAAGACCGTTTGGGAACATTAAGTGCCAGTACAAGCTCTCGAGTGGAACCGAAGTGGGAAACGACGAGTTAGACATCCGAGGGTGACAAAGAGAGGACATGAGGAAGAAATGAAAGCTTCTGGGCAGTCGTGGAGCCAGGTTCAAAAGACTGCAGAGAACAGTGCTATTGAAGTCGTATGTTCCACTAGGAACCCAAGGGACAAATAAATATATGATAAACGTATATGTAGTAGATGTATCTAAGTGTTTGTATTCATTACATTGATTGGATTAGATCGTTAATTCACGAGACTTTTTGGCACAGATCACAGTCCATGATCTTGAAAAGGTTGTTTCCAAAAGAAACCAGATTGACACTAAAACTAGGCAGCTAACGAAGTGGATCAGATATTACATTAGCTCTAAGATGAGGTAGCATACGATTCAATCGTCTAACTTAAGTATCTTGACTGCCTGTTGATAATTCGCTGTGTTGTGGGCTAGTAACTCGCTCGGATAAGTGTACGTGACAGACGCACAGATAGAATCAACGTAGAACCTCGCACACACAAGTATATCGCTTTACACTGCCACACATCACAGTAGTATACAAATAACAGATGGATATAAAAAGTGATATACCAGAGAAGACAAAGATAAGTTCAAACAGTCAACCTTCAGATGTCGAATACAGCTCCAGGACACCAACTAGGTAGTCTATATCGCCCAACGCGGGTCAGGCTGACAGTCAAGGACTTCATCGACTGCTACCACATCTTGGCCTGATCTATTTCGTCCTCGTACGGGACTTATCAGCAGCGTGCACCTATAGTGCCACTGGAGATTGAACCCACCAATATTACATCTCATAGCCAGCGCGTTACCACTAAGCTGTTAAGCAAGAATCTCAACAAAGCTCAAAAATGTGGACTATTGGATTCAAAATCAGTTGTTGAATGGTTAGTTGGTGATTAGTACTACCTTGAAATTAGAATAACCAGTAGGGAAATTGTATCTTGTCATAGCAACTGGCATCTAAGCTTGTACATCAAACCTTTTGGATACGCTGTGATGAATGTGTTGAAATGAGATATCATATGCATATATAGTCGCTGAAATCTGAAAATACTAGCTTATGGTTATAAAAGTGTGGTTTATTTATCTGAGTACTCTACTGAGCACTGAATCACCATCTCGATATCCGATCGCCTATGGAGGGTCAATTGTACTGTGTTGCAGTTCGATTTGATTTACTCTACGACTGTGAAATATGGCCATTAAAGGTAAAAGTCATGAGAAGGCTTTAGACGTTTGACCCCAATCACCTTCATAGCATAGGGACATGTTTTGTGCTGGCTCCAAGTGAGTAATGCTGAAGTTATTATTACTTGCCCTTGGGTTCCTAATGGAACATAGGGCTTCAGTAACACGTCTCCAGTACACTCTGTTCTTTGCAAACTTTTGAACCTGGCTCCATGACAGCCCAGAAGCTCTCACTTCTTCCTCACACGACCTCCTCCATGTCACCCTCAGCTGGGATGCCCAACGCGTCGCTTTCCATCTGGATTCCACTCGAGCATCTGGCCTGGTGCCTGGTGTCCTCAATCTGCCTTCTCAGTGTATGCCCAATCCATCTCCATTTCCTCCCACTGCATAGTTGTTGAGCGACAGGTTATTGGTTGGTTTGTTGCCAGCCAGTCAGTGTTCCTTGTTGCTGATTCTTTCTGGTCATCCATCTGAGCTTCAGTAAGGAGTCAGTGTAGGCAGCAGGTGTTTGTGAATGTGTGTAGTTTGTTGGAAATGCCTTTGGTAAGGCACCAAGTCTCTTAACCATCACATAGAAGCAGTGACTTGACGTTGGTGTTGAAAATCCGGATGTTGTTAACGCTTTATGCTGAGTGCAGTGCAGATCACTACAACGGTTTCAGGTTAATAAACGCCTGTCTTGCTGTCTTTCCGATCCTGTCTGCTTTGACATCCTCGTCTGTGCCTGTGCCGCCTGTAGTTGAGACGATGCTGCCTAGATAGTTTCTCCCATTGATGGTGTTTGGAGCTTGTTGCTGCTGGTTGGGTTGGTTGGGTATCTTCATCACCTCTGTCATCTCTACGTTCACTTGAAGTCCCATCTTCGCTGCCCTGCTCTGCCTCTTCTGTCAACCTGTTAGATTTTGCCTGTAGATCTTCAAGTTTGTGTGACATCAGATATAAGTCATTGGCGAAATCCAAATCTTCTAGGAGCTTTTCCCCAGAGGAGAGGAAAGCCGGTTGATACGGTTGTGAACCTTCGTCGACTAAGGTTGCTGGAATTTGTGTTATGTCTGTCTTGTTACTGTTTACCTTGTCGCCCGATGTTAGCTGAAGTAAGTTTAGGCTGCTGAAAGACTCAGGGTGGACAGACTAAAGACATGGCACCACAATTGGTCTGAGCAATGTAGAGAGATGCAAACTAGGTGGTATAATTCCATATCGATGTCCGTGACGTTGACGCATCCATACTTTATCTTATCTTCATTTCCATCCCTTTTAATCGATTTTTCTTTCCTTTTTTATCGTCTATTTTATTTCCTTGTTACCTGATGCCGTGATATGAGATGTGACAACTTGAACTGTCGTGCAGTACCGCCTGGTCTTATGTTGATATTGACCGACTGTATCCTTTATTCGAATCCAATTCCCTTGATTGATTTGATATGGCCAATGAAACAGTACCAGAAGCTAAGGAGAATATGAATGCTTATTAGAACGAGGACTGAAGGAATAAGGTAGACTACAAACATGAGTGCTAGTACAAAGACAAATTTAGACACTTATTCATTCATTCAGAAAATATCTTCTAAGTATGGTAATAAAGACATAACTATCATCATAAAAGTGCTGTAGAACTCCGATGATATCTCTAGCGTATAGTGACAGTAATGGTGGATAGTAGTCAGCCGCGGAATACAGTAGGCACGTTTCGCCCTATATGTGACCCATCAGCTGGATATGCCTGCGATTTTATTTGACGTAAACAAGAAACTGACATTATATGACAGATGGTACGATGTTTATTGATTAAATATGTGGAAGTGTTGATGAATACTTTGTCTAAGTAAGGACATAGAATCTATACACAATCAGGCTGTTATTCTTACAACATGAAGTTTGTGGAGACTGCATAAAATTGTGTATAAACCACTTCAACTAAAAGCAATATTTCCTTTTCATCGTTTCTTTTACACATTCTTACTAATACTTGTAAAAAAGGAATGTTGTTTACATACACTTTTTTGGTTGTGGCGGTAATTAATATGGCTGTTTGCTGCTACTGATCGTGGAAATAAAATGTGATTCTAACCATTCCGGCTTCTGCCTCCGTGACTATTGCCTGTCGTCCATAATAACTGATTGTCTTGGGATTTTACAGGACCTCTCATCCCACTTCCAAATATTACGAAAATCAAGCCGACCGACGACCACTGCGGAGAGACAACAAATATCCCTTCTGATCTCTGGAGTATCCCAAAATTATGGTAGACAATACTGAAGAGATAACCCCCAAGTAACCAGTGATTATCTATAACCTTGGCAATACTATTAGTGCTATAGCGTATAACTTTTCATACATGTGTATCATAAAATCCATCTTTCTTGTAAATTATACGTAGTTTGTCATTTTGGTTTACTTGACATTCTTCTAGGGTCCACTACAAGTTGGAAGACAATCCAATTTGATCATTCTCTTTAAGTTTTGCAGAATATTGATGGGAAAGTCAGCATAATTTGAAGAGAAGTAGAGGAATCACTGAGAAATAACGCAGTCACTGAGGGAAAGGAAAGCAGGCGCAGAATTTCTCCACAAATCTTTAATTACTTTTCAACAGAATCTCTATTTCGATCCGACTGAAACCATAAAACAACCCAAATGGTGAAAAAATATAGAGATTAACATTTAGTGATAACTTGAAAGCGAAATCAAAACTGTACTGTATAAACGAGCTATTACCCCGGCAAATAAAGATATTTGTAGGTTATGCACACACGTGTGGCGTAACTAATGAATAGTCGGCAATTGTACCTTATGTTCCAATATCCAATGTTCAACCCAATATCTTTTTACTAGCCAATCCAATATCTTTTAACGAGCCAGTGTAAACCAATCGATTTCTTCGCACTCGCTTCTAGGTCTTGCGGAACGGTTCCAGGACCTTGGTGGATTCCGATGCAGTAGGTTTACCCACTCGACTTCTGTAGCTCCGGTTAACCCGACGGGCGGTTGGGTATTGGTTGAATTTGTAGGGAGTATGTGTTGTTTTTTCCAGGGACTGTGGTGCAGATGGGTTCCGCAAGTGTCGTGCCAGCAGATAACTGGTTGGACTGGTTGTAAGAAGGAGATGGAAAGTGTATCTAGAGAAATCAAGGGTGAGAAAGTAAGAAAAAAATAGACAATGCAAAAAAATGATTCGGAGAAAGGAAACGGTATGGAAGAAGAAACATTGGTGGATTCATGGGAGAGGGGTGATGGGGAGAGCTTTTTTTAGAGTTTGAGGACTTAAAGTTAGTAGGAAGAGAAGGAGAAAATGAGATAGTAATTCCATTAGTAGGAGACAGCAACTGGAGGGGATGCCCACAGAGAAGTATGAGGTTGAGCCAAGTTCGCAGCTATGGTGGCGTTACAGTGTTTGATAATGGGTTGGCCCTGACGAGTAAGTAAGTCGTGTCAGCCTGGTCCCCATCCCAACAGGATGAGCGCAAACCATGCGTCACTGCGTAACTGTCCAACCTCTTCTCGAATCCTTCAACAGACGGAGCAGTAGCGATCTCGGCAAGCAATGAATTCCAGTGGCCACAAACTCGCAGAGAGAAGTATGAACGCACACAGGCTTTTGACCTTTGGTGGGCGATTCTCCTTGGGTTACCGCGAGGAGCACCGTAGTGGTCGTTCGGTAGGATTCCACTTTTCGGATGACTTGAGTTACTTAGTATTTTGTAAGCCGTTATCAGGTCACCACGTAATCTACAATAGCTTAGAGAGTACAGTCCAAGATCTTTCAGCCTGTCCCCATAGGGTCTTCGCCCTATCCCCATGACACCCTTTGTAGCTCGCCTACGGTGGTGTAATGACGTTGTGGGCCTTTAAGTGAAGTCGTACGCAGGTCTTGTACAGCTTCAAAAAAAGTTCTGCGCATGAAGTTCAATACTGCGTAGGGTCTGGAATCGTCTCATGGATAATTGGAGCTAGTGTCCAGTTTACCAGTCAGTATTAGTCCTAGGTCTTTCTCCGTGGATGTATGGAAAGTTGTGTTCCACAGACAGAACAGGGTACCTTCTGAGAATCAGAGGTGAGGAGAAACATGGCTCGGCACTTATCCAGATTAAATGCTAGTCCATCAATATCCACCCACTCTGCAAGTATTCTGAGGTCATTCTGCAGTGCGCGTGATTCCGCTTCCGACATCATAGCCCTTCATAACCTAACGTCGTCAGCGTTAAGTAGAAGTGGGGAGCTTAAATTCAGTAGGAGGTCGTTCACAAAAAGGAGTAGTAGCAGTGGACCCAGAATCTCCCCTCGCGATACACCAGATGATGGTGTCCTCGAAATCAAGCAAGCGGTGTTCATTGACAAGTTCAACATCCAACATCAATAATGAGAGTAGAGGAAACTTGATGTTTTTGAGCTCCCACTTCTAGGTCTTGAGGCTTGGTACTTTTAGCTTAGTTGTACTCCTTCGATGGTTGCAGGAGTCTTTGCGTCTTCCTGCTTATAGATCAAGGGGTAATGGTTGTCCAGTTGAAGGCATTTTATTTGCGAATCGTAGTCTGGTTTTTTTTTGGGGGGGGGGTGGGCAACGAAGCTGCTGATAAGATCAATCAACCGTTAGCAAATCCTGTTGTTGTGGGCACCTGCAAGTAAGTGTTAAGCGTTACTTAAAAAGCGCTAGAAGCAGGGTGAGTGGGAAATGAGAAAAAGAGGAGTGAAGAGTACTTATGAAAAGATAAATGTAACTGGCAATAACGTTGTGGGTACTAGGGTTAGGTAGTCCAAGGGTGGGAAGGCGTATCATCAATTGCTACTGACAAATGTTCGTGGCAAGCCATTTGCGCTCACATACTCATCCAGTAGTCCCTTGGAGGAATTGACTGATGTAGCTGTGGCCACTTCCCTCGACAGAGCGTTCTATAAGGCATATACTCCGTGGGAGAAGTTAGATCTCACTCTGGCCATTGCCGTATGGTGCGTCATGCGAGTGGGGTTCCTACGGACTGTCGGTTTTTGACCGATGACGTTGTCCTATTTGGGTGGCTCACTTGATGAATGATCTCGTAGCCTGTTATCAGGTCACCTCCTTTCTTTCGACAGCTTAGTGTGAACAAGTTGGGTTGTCTGAGGCGTTGAGCATGTTTTGCCTGTTAGTCCGACAACTGACTTTGTTGCTCTTCTCCGCACCTTCTGGAGAGTAGTTGCGTTTCCCCTTAGTACTAGAGGGGCCTGGTGTTGAACACCTCCAGATGTGGTCTGACATAGGTTTGAAATACCATCAGGAATAATTCTGGGGTTAACAGTCCAAGCTGCCTTCTTAGAAAGTTCAGAATGGCGTTTGCCTTTGCTGCCATTCCCTTACAAATGTCATTAGTATCCAGTGAGTCAGAAAAGTGGTCCTAGATTCTCATCTGTGGATGCCTTGGTGATTGCATACTTGTTAAGAGTGTAGCTGATTTCCATCGCCTCTGGTGTACGAGGATGCATCACCTTACGTTTCTCCAGGTTAGAGCTTACACCATTCGCAGCTGACCAGGACTCCAGCTGCAACAGGTTGTCTTCACGTACCCTAGAGACCTCTTCGCCACCTATCGTCCTTCATGTTTTGACGTCGTCGGCGAATAGGAGGATATATGAAGAGATTTTAATGGGGTGGTCACTTATGAATAGTAAAAACAGGAGTGACCCAACGATCGTTCCTTTAGAAACCCCTGTTCTTGCATTCCTCCAGGTTGATCAAATTCTGGTTACCCTAGTGCCGAAGTCTCTGTCCTGTAGGTATGCTGTAAACTATGCTAAGAGTGGTTTACTGATACCAACTTTCGCAAGTTTGGCGAGCATGGTACAGTGTGGGACGCTATCGGGAGCTTTGGCCAAGTCCAAGAAGACAACGTGAACTAGTTGTTTGTTGTCCCATCTAGTGGTCCAGTTAACCCAAGCAGTCGTCAAGTTTGTGGCACATGACCGTCCGGTTCCGAAGGCACACTATGTAGGATGAACGATGTCGTTTCTTCTCAGGTAGTCCCAAACAAAACCTGCAACCAGGCTTCCCGGTACCTTGGAAAGTATGGAGAGTAATGATATTGGTCTGTACTTGCACGGGTTTTTTCGGTCTCCTCCCAAGAGGACTGGTAAAAGGATCGCGCGTTCCCACTCTTTGGAGAGTTGGCTTACCTCCAACAGGTGCGTGAACAGGTTGCATATGGGTATGGTTAGAAATTTGACACGGTTGGGTGGGACCACCGGTCTTATGTCATCGCAGCCCGGAGATTTTCCTACTCTCAGCGCTGAAAGTTTCACAAACACTTAGTTTGACAAAATCTTCAGGTTCACAAGCTTTGTATCGCAGTCCTGGGACTTTGTTACATTACTAGATGTTGGTAGTGGATGTGTTACTGGGTTGAGTCGCTCATCAACTCAACTGCCCACCAGTTTCTGGGGGAAGATTATTGGAGTTCGCGCTATGTAACATGTTTGACTGCACCAGGTTTTCCAGTTCGCCGTTGGCGACAGCAGGTGGTTTCCGACACTCTGGGCGTATGTACCACATCCATTTACGTCGGCTCTTTCTCATAAAGCTGTAGTACTGCCCTGGTAAAGCATTATCACGGTTACGATGCGCCTATCTAAAGCAGACGTTGCACTCAAAGGCTTTTCGAGCCCCTGACACCGATTCTTTGCAGACACCATGGTCATCAGAGGTTTGCTCTTTGTTGATAACTGAGTGGTTTGCTTTCTGTAAGGCGATGTCATGCGTGGGGCATTTCCCCACGCTTTATTCTTCACCAACAGCATAACTGGAGACGTGCCACTGCCACCCCGACTACAGGGGTTTGCCGGTTTTGACAAGTTCTGTGCCTGGCGTAACAGTGTTATAAGGATCTTAGACGGTGGGTGTGTTGCTGCGTCCTTCTTTTCTGCACAGAATAGATTCTGTCCGCCTGCAAACCTCGTTATACGAATAAGGGCTTGCGATCTGGTTCAGTATAGAAATAATTTAAATGAAGAAGGGAATAAAGCGTAAAGTAGGCAGCTTACCAACGGGAACTTGGTACTCGGTTTCTCTCACTTTATCATCAACTTTTACCGGATACTTCAAGTGCGCATGTAAAGAACGAGAAAGATATTTCTTGGTGAATGCTCCTCGAAGAGAGCCAAAAAATGTAGCAGCTGAACGGTCCAGACGACTACAGATCACCAGTGGGAAGCATTTTCGAGCTCAGAAGGTAATTGCATAGTTATAAGTAGCAATTCTAGCGTCCAGTGGATTAACTGAATTGCGTTCACCTTTGAGATATGGTTGACTGCTGGTTTTCGGTGATAAACACTGTAGTATTGCTCCTGGTTTGGAGATGGACAGGCTCGTCGGCAAGTTTTCTGGGATTTCCTTTACATCGTGACTTTAAGCCCAAATAAGTGGTTGAATAACAGTTCTCAAGGATTTTCATAAACAGCTACACTTTGACCGTTCTAACATGGCACACTCTTTAGTTTTCACTCGCACCCAAAAACATCCAAAATCAGTAATGCGAGTGTCAGAAAGTGATAGCTTTACACCCCTGAGGTCTAGTTCCTGAGGCTTGCTGCTTTGTTTCGGTTAAATCTAGTACTGGCCAGAGGAATCCCCTTTGCTATCCAGACTTTGGCTCGGGTGAGGTGAATGTTTTCCCTAGTTGGTAATTGTAACTTGTATGTTGAGACTATTGTTGAGCTACCGGTTGATGTCGTGATTTCTGTCTGTATGGGTGGCTGAATAGGAATAGCAAGATAACACGAAAAGGTGCATGAGAACT